CGCCCCGCCGGTGCCACCGCCCGCCCGGGGCTCCCGAGCGCCTGCGGTGTGCCTGTCCCCCCGTGGGGTGGGGATAGGGCTAGGGCCGCCCGCCCGCGTGCCGGCGGGGACAGCAGGCGCGGGGGCAGCCGGAAGTGTGTGCCCGGGGGAAGAGTCATGGGGCGCGTGGGAGCCGGGCCGAGGCTGAGGGGACATGCCGCGCATGCATTAGGCGCCTGCGGTATGCGCAGCCCCACAGGTTGAGTGGAATGCGCAGGCTTGAGCCCTTCTGGCGGGACGCCCCTGCGCCCGGGGTTTTCCATGGTGGGTGCGCATTAAGCGCCCGTTGTTTAGGAGGCTGTCAAGTCCGTTTTTGCAGCCAAATTGAGATCACTTCAGGACACAGTCAAAAGCTGCGTTTTGGTGGGCATGGTGGCACATGCCTGTCATCCCAGCACTCAGGAGGCTGAGGTAGGAGGATCTCGACAAGTTTGAGGCCAGCCTGGGCTATACAGCGAGACCTTGCCTCAAAAACACAAAAGAAAGCTAGGTGGCGCCTGCCTGGCAAGCGCAAGGTCGTGAGTTCGGTTCCCGGTACCGGAGAAAAACCAAAAAAAAAAAAAAAAAAAAAAAAAAGAAAGCTAGGTGGGCTTGGTGGCGGACACCTGTGATCCCAGCGCTCCGGAGGCTGAGGCAGGAGGATCACTAAGCTACATAGTGAATTCAAAGCCAGTCTGTGCTACACAGTGTAAACCCCCCTCCCCCATCACACACACAAAAAATTAAAAATGCAAAAGGAGAAGGTGTAGAGCATAGGCCTGCACCTGGCAGGCTCAAAGGCCTGCGGGGTGCAGCCCGGACTAGGAGGATGACAGAGTGTGCCCTCCCCAGGCGCACGACCTGTGTCTGAGGGGGACCCCAAGGTTGACTCCCGCGGCCCGGGTCGACGTCACCTTGTACTACGAGGCGCTGTGCACGGGCTGCCGCATATTCCTGGTGCGCGATCTCTTTCCTACCTGGCTGCTGGTGCTGGAGATCCTCAACGTCACGCTGGTGCCCTACGGGAACGCCGTGGTGCGCATGCCGGGGAAACAGGCTGGGGCGGGGGGGGGGGGGGGGCGCTGTCACGCGCTCACCGGCTCGGTGTCCCGCAGGAGCAGAGTGTCAACGGGACATGGGTGTTCAAGTGCCAGCACGGCGAGCGGGAGTGCATGCTCAACAAGGTGGAGGTGAGTGCTGCGGGCGCCTGGGGGCCGCGCGGGTCTGCGCTCGGTCTCACCCTGTCCCCCACCCAGGCCTGCGTGCTGGACCAGCTGGAGCAAAACGCTGGCTTCCTGACGGTCGTCTGCCTGGAGGAGATGGATGACATGGAGAAGAACCTGACACCGGTGAGAGGCCCCGTCCTTACTCCAGAGAGGGGACAGAAGGGCCGGTGAAGCTCAGCATTCCCAGCATGAGGGAGGCTGAGGCGGGAAGATCTCAGCACAGGCTTCATCACAAAACTTCCATCTCTAAAGCAGGGGATAGAGGTCTCGGGAAGACCTCCTGGAGGAGCAATCTCTAGCTTTGTTTGCGGGTGGGGGGCGTGCAAGAATATGCATGTGACAGGATACCGTGGAAAATAGCTGCCCAAGGGCTGATTCACCTGCCCTGCTCATTTATTCACTCATCAAACATCCAGGCCACCCAAGGGCCCTTGCCCCAGATACTCCCAGCTTGGCAGGGCCACCGTGGGGCTCCGGGTGTGGAGAGGAGGAAGGGTGTTCCTGGCAGAGGGAACAGAATGCACGGCAGCTCAGAGGGTAGGGAGGTGCCATGGGGGAGAGAAGGTACAGAGCTGAGCTCGGCAGCGCGGATCGGGCGCCTCCTGTTTTCGCGAGCTGCTGCTGGGCGGTGGGGCCAACCGCCCCCCACCGGCGGTGAGGAAGCTGGGGACAGTTGCAGAGATAACGGGGAGGAAGGTGAGGCAAGGCCGTGTGTTTCCCAGTGTCTGCAGCTGTACGGGCCGAACGTGACGGCGGACAGCATCATGGCGTGCGCCTCCGGGGAGCGCGGGACGCAGCTCCTGCACCGCAACGCGCAGCTCACGGACGCCCTGCAGCCGCCGCACAAATACGTGCCCTGGGTCCTCGTCAACGGGGTAAGGACCGGGGAGGTGCGCGCCTGGCGTCCCAGCGCTCCAGCAGGCTGAGGCAGGAGCATCTCCAGTTGGTGCCCAGCACGGACGACTTGGTGATTTAAGGAGACTGTTTCCAAAACCGGGCATGCGGCTCAGCGCCAAGCTTGCTGAGCAAAGGCGCCTGGGCTCCACCCCCACACCGCGCAGGAAGGGGCAAACGGAGATGCGGGGCCTTCTCTTATTTCATGCAGAAACCTTTGGAAGACCCGAGCCAGCTCCTGAGTCTGGTCTGCCAGCTGTACCAGGTAAGCTGGGCACGGAGCCTGGGGCGGCCCTGCAGCTGGGGGCAGAGGTGGGGTGGTCCTGTGGGGATGCTTGCGCTCCAAGGCACCCTCCTCTCTCCAGGGCCAGGACAAGCCGGACATCTGCTCCTCCTTGGGCAGCACCCACAGGGAAGTCTGCTCCAGATGAGGGCCAGGAGCCTGCGGGAGCCCACGGAGAAAGAACAAGAGCCCCACTGCCCCCTTCCCTCCTTTCCATCTCCAAGCTCAGCAGAAACACCCCCTCATGAAGAACTCCTACACATCCCACAGAGCCCATACCCAAAATCCCCTCCTGTGTTCAAGAATCTTGCCTCGATGACAGTGGTGCTAAATCAAAATTCATTTGATAAATAATAAACCATTTTGGCTGTTGTGATTCATTCTTTCTGGGTTTTGTTTTTGTTCTTTTCTTTGTGTTGTTTTTTGAGACAGGGTCTCACTGTGTATTCCAGATGGTCTTCAGACTCAAACTTGACCAGCCTCCTGCCTCAGCCTCCTCAGTGCTGAGATGAGAGGACCCCTTTATCCCCCAGGCCACTAGCATCTGCCCCTGGTGCACGGGGTACCTTGCCCTGGTATTCCAGGGGCCAGATTGTACTGCATCTTGGAGGAAAAATTCCAAAATGGCAAAGGGAAAATTTTAAAATTAAAAAAAAGCACACAAAAAACCTGAAGTTGTGGCTTATCTGAGGGATCCGAGACCTTCATCAGCAGAGGCCCCTCACGCAGCAGCTGCAGCTGCAGTGACTCAGACACAGACCCAGTTTGCCCAAGAAACCCTTCCTCCTGCACCCACGGAGCTCGCAGCAAAGGGGGAAGTCCGCGGCGCTTTCTTGGAAATGAGAGGGCTCGCCGACTGTCTGTCGAGGTGTGCGGCTCCGGTTCCCAGCGGATCATCGGCGCTGCGGTCTGGAAAGGGCGGGCTTCAAAGGAAAAGCGTTCAGCAGGAAAGTGCTCGCCTGGCCGCCGGGCTCCTGGCCTGGGCAAAGTCCATGTCAGAGGAGACGGCAGCGCTGAGGCCGCGCTGACTCTCCCGCCCGCTGCTCAGCACCCCGCTCGCCTGGCCTCCCGACCTTTCTGGGCCTCGGCCTCCGCCGCCCGGCCTGAGCGTGTCGTCCCTCGACCCAGGCCCGGGCTGCCGACCCGCCCAGCGCAGCCTGAGTGGACCTGCCGTTTCTCGAGCTACTTCTGCTTTCTTTAATTCTGTGCTTTGTTCCACTGCCATCCTGGACGGGACACTGGCAGTTTGGCTCTCTCGTGGGGTCATGTGGTAATCTATAAATGGATTACTGGTTGCTGGCTAGCAGACAACTGGAAGATGAATTGAGCATCTATGCCAGGAGTGGGGGTGCAATCCGCGCACCCAGGAGGCTGAGGCAGGAGGACGCAGGAGGATCTACAGGAGGTTGAGGCCAGCCTGGATCAGACAGACCCTATCTCAAAAACCCCAAACTAAAACAGACACACCTTTATTGTGAAGCCAGGCTCCGTGGCACACGCCTGTAACCCCAGCACACCCGGAAAGCCACAGCAAGAGGATGCCCTGAGGCCAAGAGTTTGACACCAGCCTGGGCAACACAGTAAGACCCTGTCTCCAAAATAATGAACGAGAGGGGCTGGGGACTTAGCTCAGCGGCAAAGCTCCTGCCTGGCAAGCGCAAGGTCGTGAGTTCGGTTCCCGGTACCAGAGAAAAACCAAAAAAAAAAAAAAAAAAATGAATGCACTTAGTGTGGATGTAGAGTGTCTGCTTTTTCCTTGCGACATACTGTGTGAGAAACATTTTAGCTGAGGGGCCATGCAAAACCAGAGGGCAACAGGATCAGGCCTGCCGACAGTACCGTGAAGCGTAGAGAACAGATATAGATTTCCACTGAAACACATGGTTTCCCACAAGTACACAGAGGGTCAAAAAGAGGATCCCTGGCTTGCGCAGCCGCGCTAAGTTGCTGAGACATCAATTATTGCAGGACACAAGCTGCCAAAGTGTCTCCAATGTTTTGATTTTTATTCCTTATTCCTCTTTGTGGTGCTGGGGAGGGAACCCAGCATCTCGAGAACGTTGGCAAGCATTTTCCGGATGAGCTACACCTCCAGGGCCTTTTCAGGATTTATTTGGAAACGGGGTTTAGCTCAACTGCCCAGAGTAATCTTGAATTTGCTATCCTCCTGCCTCAGCGTCCAGAGAAGCTCAGATTCCGAACCTGTAGCACCTCTTCCGGTCGTTTCATTTTATTTTTATTTGGTTTTTGAAACAAGGTCTCACGGGGCTGGGGATTTAGCTCAGCTGCACCGCGCCTGCCTGGCAAGCACGACGTCGTGAGTTCGATTCCCGGCACTGGAAAAAAAAGAAAGAAAGAAAGAAAGGATGTCTCACTATGTAGCTGAGGCTGTCTTGAACGCTCTATGTAGCCCAGGCTGGCCTCAAACTCAGGGAGATCCTCTTGTCTCAGCCTCCTTAGTGTTGGGTTTACAGGCGTGCACAACATCCGGCTGTTTTTACTATTCTTCTCCTTCTTCTTATTATTATTCAAGAGATTCAGCTCCCTCTCCTCCCACTGGCGGAAGGCTCAGGATAGACTTTTGCCACCTGCGCAGGTCACAAGACCGACCATCGAGTAACTCCAGGAGAAACTGAAATCTGCATGGCAACTAGACCCGAAAGCGTGGTACCTGTCTCAGATTGGCCATCTTCGATTTAGGAGGCGGGGCTACAGCCCCTGATTTGCTAGCGCAGTCCCGGTCTGCGGTTGGCTGTTACTTTAAGTAGGGATGTAGCTACAGGCGTTCTTCTGCCAGTGTATAAATGAGCAGGGAAACAAAGGTGCAACGTCACCACTTGGCTGCATGACGCTTGTCTGCGATTGGTCCATCAGCTGGGGAGGCGGTGCACATTCGCGTTCGCGATCTACCGACCTTGGAAAAGCACGACTACTTTTTATTGGCCAATACTTCTCGGGGAAGGATAAGTGTGGCCCGAGACGATCAGCGATTGGTTAGTGCCATTTGGGGCGGGCACGCGGAGCGCGAAGAGAGTGGATCGGTGACCTCCGGCGTGGGTGGGCACTAGGAGCGCGGTAGGGACTCACGATTGGCCAAGGCAACTGGGGCGGGGCGAAGCGCAGCCGCGCGCCGGTTCCGGTCCGGGCGGCGATGGCGCCGGGTTCCTGGCGGTGGGTGCGCGGTGTCTGGGCGGCGGGGCAGCCGCTGTTCCAGGGCCGCGCGCTGCTCGTCACCAACACGCTGGGCTGCGGCGTGCTCATGGCGGCCGGGGACGGCGCGCGCCAGGCCTGGGAGATCCGTGCGCGGCCCGGTCAGACGTTCAGCCCGCGGCGCTCAGGTGAGGCCCGGGCTACTGCTCCGCCCTCCGCCCTCCGCGCAGATCCGGGGCCCCCAGGCCGGACGGGCGGGCGTGGCCCCGACCCCTGGCCTCGGCCCCCCTCCGCCCCCTGCGCCCCGGGTCTTGCCCTCCGAGCCCCGGCGCAGCCGTGCCTAGCGCGGGGCTGGGGCATCGCGTCCCGGGAGGGCGCGGGCGGTGTTGTGCCTGACGCTGCCGCCCGCAGCCCGCATGCTCGCCGTGGGCTGCAGCATGGGCCCGTTCCTGCACTACTGGTACCTGTGGCTGGACCGCGTCCTCCCCGCCGCCGGCCTGCGCGGCCTCCCGAACGTCGTCAGGAAGGTGCTCGTGGACCAGCTGGTGGCCTCCCCGCTGCTGGGCGCCTGGTACTTCCTGGGTACGGACGGGAGCGGACCCCGGGGGCGGCGAGGCGGCGGCAGTGCTGACCCGACGGGCCCGGGCCGACAGGGCGCGCGACGCCGGGTGGGTGGGACGCGCTCTGCGGAGCGGACAACGCAGGGACCCCAGCCCGCGCCCGGCCTGCGAGCTCGGCTTCCCCGTCGGGAAGGGGCCTTGGGAGACGGGCTTCCCACCCCGGCTGCTCTCCGCGTGCGTGCGTGTGCGTGTGTCACTGCCCCCTGTCCCGCCCATCACGCCTGCCCGTCATCCCGCCATCGCAAGAGCCGGCGGCCTGACCTTCGCTTTCCTTCCCAGGCTTGGGCTGTCTGGAGGGCCAGACGCTGAGCCAGAGCTGCCAGGAGCTGCAAGAAAAGTTCTGGGAATTCTACAAGGTGGGAGGGGCCCGCGCAGGCCCCGCCCCTCGCCGGCCCAGGCCCCGCCCCTCGCCCCTATCTAGCCCACCTCCCAAAGCCCTGCCCCCGCCCCAATGCCCCGCCCCTTGTCGACAGGCCCCGCCCCTAGCCCCTATCCAGCCCACCTCCCAGAGCAGGCTGACTGGTGCGTGTGGCCGGCGGCGCAGCTGGTGAACTTTCTCTTCGTGCCCCCCCAGTTCCGGGTCACCTACGTGAACAGCCTGACGCTGGGCTGGGACACGTACCTGTCCTACCTGAAGTATCGGGTGAGCTCGGTGGGCATGGGTGGCCCAGGCGCCCGGGGGACTGCTGGGGGGCACTTGTGTCGGCCCCACAAGGCACTGCAGCTGCAGCAGGAGAGGGTGACCTGTGCCATGGCCGTCGTACCCACAGTGGGCGGTCTGGTGCCGGACCCGGTGCCACTGTGACCACGTGTCCCTGTGCGACTCGAGTGCAGGGACTGGCAGGGCGTGGAGGGGGCACCCGGCAGTGACTGAGCCTCTGTGTGACAGATCCCGGGGGCCCTGGCGCCCCAGGCTGGGGATTGAGCCGCCGTGCCCAGGACTGGATGCCGGACAGGGCGGGCCGCCTCGGAGCGACCCACTTCCGCCAGAAGAGGACGGATTCCTCCAGCTTCGGATCCTGCGCCCCAGACGGGCCTCCGCTCCCCGGCTGATCAGCTCGAGCTCGCCACACAGCCCAGCCAGCCCGGAGCCCCAGGCCCGCATCCCTGCCGCGGCCTGGCTCCTGCCATGAGCAGGCGGCCATCCCAGGGCACCCCGCCAGAGCGGCCTGCGGTCTCCGGCTCGCACTGAGAACCCCATTAAATTGCGATCCCGGGCTCCCGGTGCCCCAGGGCGGCCACGCACAGGGACACCGCGTGGTCCATTCGCTTTATTGGAGTGAGTGGTGTCGAGACATTTCCTAGGGGTCTGGGGGCACATTTGACACATGACGTCAGAACAGGTCTGGGGGGCCCGTGGCACCCCACCCACCCAGGAAGCTGGGACTGTGGGAGCATGGAGCCGCAGCCTTGCCAGACGCTGACCCCCTGGTCCACAGGGTCCCCAGAGCGTGGCCTGGACCCCCAGAGCCCAGGGCAGGCAGGCAGCCACCTCCTGTCACCTTTTAGCCTGCTCCAGGTGTCACCTGGCCCCCTCTTCACATCCAGCGACTGTGATGGGGGATTAGAAAAACCAACGGGGAGACGGGAGCCGGAGGAGCAGGGCAGGGCATCGTCAATAAATAAATAAATAGCTACGATAATAAATAGGGGCGGGGCAGCTGGGGGGGCGGCCGCCCCTGGAGGGGGGGCGGGGCCCTCAGCAGGCGCAGTCCTGGTGCGGCGGCGCCTGCTGGTCGCTGAGCTGCGGGCCCTGCTTGGCGCCCGTGACCGCGGGGTCGGCCGTGTCCAAGGACTCGGACATCTTCTCGCAGATGACGTCCACCAGGCGCTCGAAGGTCTGCTTCACGTTGATGTTGTCCTTGGCGCTCGCCTCAAAGAACTCAAACCCTAGGGTAGGCAGAGCGGGACGCCACATGGCATGCATGAGTCTGCTGCCCTCCTGGCCCGCCGGCACCCTCGGCCTGGCCCAGAGTCCTGGCAGTCGGGGTACCCGCACCCCACACTCGCCACAGCTCCTGCTGCGCTCACAGTCCCTGCCCCAGGTTTTTTTTGGTCTTTTTGGGGTGTTTTTTTTTTTTCTTCCTGTACCAGGAATCGAACTCACGACCTTGCCCTTGCCAAGCAGGTACTGTGCCGCTGAGCTAAATCCCCAGCCCCTTTTTTGGTCTTTTTGAGACAGGGTCTGGCTATGCAGTTCAGGCTGGCCTTGAGCTCACTTTGTAGCTCAGGCTGGTCTCAGCTTGCAACGATCCTCCTGCCTCAGCCTCCCAAGTGCAGGGATTACAGACGTGGGCCACCACACCCAGCCCCTGCCCCAGTTCTGATCAAGGCCTGTGACTGACATTTCCCCCAATGGGGCCCCCTCTTCCAGCCATGTAGAGTGTGGCACAGAGGACCTCTCTCCCTCTCTCTGGCCTTTGTTTGCTCTGTAACCTACCTACACCACAGCCTTGTTCTGCCGTGGACTACCCCCGTCCAAGTCATGCCTTTCAGTCACAAAGCAAGACACTCCTTTCAGGTGCCTAGCACCTCCCAACATGAAGCCAGACAGTGAGGTCATCAGGAAGAATCACTTTCTCTACAGTGAACTCCTATATATCCATTAAAACCCATCTCCACAGCTCCTGGACCTGCCCATTTGCAGAAAGTGTAAACTTCTGGGATTCAGATCTGTGCCCTGTCCTGGCTCACTGTACACCTTAGGTGCATCTCTCCCCCTTGGTGGCCTGCGTGGCACTCACCGAGGTGGTCAGCCAGCTGCCGGCCACGCTCTGAGGACACCACCCGCTCGTCTTCCATGTCACACTTGTTGCCCACCAGCAGCACCTGGGCGTTGTCCCATGAGTAGGTCTTGATCTGAGTAGACCTGCAGGAGTCAGCCATGGTGTTTACACAGGCAGACAACCAGCCCTGGCCTGAGGACTCAGGCTCTGACCACCGAGCCACACCCCCAGCTCCATTTAATTTATGTCTGAGACAGGGTCTCACTATATAGCTCAGACTGGCCTTGAACTCATTATGTCGCCTAGGCTGCCCTCAGACCCACAGAGATCCTCCTGCCTCAGCCTCCCACGGGCAGAGATTCCCGACTTGCACATCAGACCCATAGGGCCTGGCAGGTCCCATGGCTTCTGTCCTCCCCCTCAAGATTTCCAGTTCCCCTCCATGTTCACAGCTCTTCCCTCTGGACCCTCCTCCCTGAGCCGGGCCGAGCCGGCCAAGGCCTCACCAGTCCTGCACGGCGTTGAAGGACTCCTCGTTGGTAATGTCGTACATGAGGATGAAGCCCATGGCGCCGCGGTAGTAGGCGGTGGTGATGGTACGGTAGCGCTCCTGCCCTGCTGTGTCCTGCAGGGAAGGAACTGGGGCTCAGGACCCAGGGCACAGTGTGGCTGAGCCTGTGCAGCCCGGCTGGGACAGAGACAGGGACCGCAGGCAGGTTCCCTGGAGCACTCTGCGGAGTCGACTTGCCTCCACACGCCCTCAGTCACTCAACAAACACAATTGTGCTGGGCCCCATGTGGGTACAGGGGGCGCAGTGTTAACCAGGGGACGTCAATCTCTGCCCTCCTGGGACAGTAACAGCCACACAAGTGCAGCCTGATGGGGCACAGCAAGGGCGAGAAAAAAGAGGGAAGGAGGAAAAGGAGATGGGGAGCAGGTGTAAGACCGGAAGAGCCAGGCATGGTGGTGCACTGGGGAGGCTGAGGCAGGAGGATCACAAGTTCAAACCCCGCCAGGGAAAGTTGGTGACTTATTGAGGCCTTGTATCAAAACAAAAATCAAACACCTGAAGGGTAGGTGAGGCATTCTACGCACTATGGAGGGACCGTCCTGTGGGGGCTACCCTCAGCCCTCTGCGGGGCACCGTACCAGGGGAGGAGACCCAGCTGACCCTCATGCCAGGCAAGGCTGAGGATGTTGAAGGTGTGAGCTGGGATCAGGTGCTATGGCACACCCGGTCCAGGCCAGGGTGGGAATGAACGCAAAGCAAAGGGGGCGAGCCAGACTGCTTTTCGGGGTGAGGCCCCCACCCACCCAGATCTGCAGCTTGATCCTCTTGTCGTTGCGGTAGATGGTCTTGACCTTGAAGTCGATGCCCACGGTGCTGACGAAGGCGGGCGTGAAGGAGTCGTCCGCGTAGCGGAAGAGGAAGGACGTCTTCCCCACGCTGCTGTTGCCGATGATCAGGATCTTGAACATGTAGTCAAAGTTCTGGTCCGAGGACTCCTTCTGCCCATAGCGAGAGTCTGTGGCAGACGCCATCTGCGGATGCGAGGGGACGGTGTGAGGGGCTCCCCGAGTTCCCCCTGCCAGGCTGGAGAAGGCTGCGGGGTGCAGCTTCCCCTGAGCCCGTAGGGAGCCCCAATATTCATGGGGTCCCCAGCAGTCTCGCTGTGACCTTGAAAGGTTTCTAAACAAGGGTTCAAGGAGATGTGAGTAGCGACACCCCTGTACCCCAGGTGAGGCTGTGACCCTAAACCCTGTACCAGGGCATGGGGGCGTGGGACTGGGACTAGCCACCCCCATTAACTGTTCCTGGCGCTGGGGACAGGGCACTCCCGAGGCTGCAGCCAGCCTGCCTCAAGCCCCTGGGCTGAGACCTCCATTGAGGCCGCTGCGCAGCACCACGTGACAGAGGCGGGGCATGCACCACTCACGTGCACCTCGCACCCGCACACGCCCTGCAGACGCGAGTGTGCAAGCCCCCAAGGCCACAAAGGGGGAGGCGCCACCCCTGTCCACACCTTAACCTGCGCATGGGAACGTGCAGACCCACCCGGCGCCCGGCTCCCTGCACCCACGCAGGCCTGCGCGTCTTTGTCACCCACCCGGACACGGGGCTCTGCGCACACACAGGCACGTCCACGCGCTTCCCTGCACACGATGCGGCTGGCGCACACCTGGGCACTGACCCCGACCACATCACGCGGACAGACCTAGATCCACGCGCAAGTGTGCACAACCCGCGGCACAGGGG